TATGCAAAACAGAAAAAGAGACACAGATGTACAGAACAGACTTTTGGACTCTGTGGGAGAAGGCGAGGGTGGGATGTTTCGAGAGAACAGCATCAAAACATGTATATTATCAAGGCTGAAACAGATTACCAGCCCAGGTTGGATGCATGAGACAAGTGCTCAGGGCTGGTGCACTGGGAAGACCCAGAGGGATCGGGTGGGGAGGGAGGTGGGAGGGGGGATCAGGACGGGGAATACATGTAAATCCATGGCTGATTCATGTCAATGTATGGCAAAAACCACTACAATATTGTAAAGTAATTAGCCTCCAACTAATAAAAATAAATGAAAAAAAAAAAGGAACAAACAAACAAAAAAAGACTGCAGCTGGCTGGCTCTTTTGACTGTAACATTCAAAGGAATGAGCACAGTCCACCCCCTGGCAGTGGGACCCACAGAGGTTCTTAGCGGCATTTCAGATGCGCTGCTGAAAGGATCAGTCATCAGCTCAAGCAATAGCCCCAGAATGCCTTGCTCCTCTGTTCTGCTCACACCAGCCTAGCAACAGTCCCCCCACCAACCTTGATGATCCCAGCTACCCACTGTCTCTCTCTGCCTGCCCCTAGGCAGATGGACCCTGCTGCAGGAGAGACAGACTGGTACCTTCCGACGTAATCACTAATCTCAGCTGGCTTCCCACTCATCTTTGCCTGAACAACCATGTCAAGTCTCCATTCTTCTGGGGTGCTGCATCTGGACTCAGTGGAAACCCATGTTCCCTCCTCTCCCACTGATTGCAACAGGGATGTCCCCCCTCTGTCCATAAGCCAATCTGTCCAGCTGGTCCAAGGTCCATCTGCCCCCCTCTACCTTTTTAGAAAGCTGACATTACAGATATACATCTTTCTCCTACAGTTAACCTTCCTCATTTACAGAATCCTTTCTATGGCATTTACTGCCCAATTATTGCTTATGTTGAAGACTCCTTCCCTCATCCCATTCCCCGCTCCCAGATACTGCCTCTCCTCACTCCTCCCATTCCCAGCCACCTCCTCTCCCTCACACCGACCTGGCTTTTGCACCCACTTCTCCTCCATCAACTACTACTCTTCCTTCTCTTCATCATCTCTGTTTACAAAGAAGACATTTCCGGACTTCTCTCGTGGTTAAGAATCCGTCTGCCAATGCAGGGGACATAGGCTCGATCCCTGGTCCGGGAAGCTTCCACATGGAGCAGAGCAACTAAGCTCATGGGCTGCAACTACTGAAACCCGAGCCCAGGAGCCTGTGCTCCACAGCAAGAGAAGCCACCACAGGGAGAAGCCTGCATACGGTAACTAGAGAGCAGCCCCCGACTCGTGGCAACCAGAGAAAGCCCACGTGGAGCAATGACGACCCAGCACAGCCAAAAATGTAAAAAAAGAAGACACTTCACCTTCCTCCTGATTCATTCCTCAGTAGCATAGCTTGCCTCTTTCCTTTTTTTTCCCCTTGGCTTCCAGGGTACCACCTTCTTTTTTTCACTCTATGCCTCCTTTTTCTCAGACTCCTTTATCATCTCATCCTCCTTTACCTGGCATTTAAATATTGTAGTTTTGCAAGGTTGGCCTTCAATAGCACCTGCTTCCCAGAGCTGTTGAATGATTAAATGAGTCAATGAAATAGGGATGCTGGGAAAGATTGAGGGCAGAAGGAGAAGAGGGCATCAGAGGATGAGAGGGCTGGATGGCATCACTAATGCAATGGACATGAACTTGGGCAAACTCTGGGAGGTGGTGAGGGACAAGGAGGCCTGGCATGCTGCAGTCCACAGGGTCGCCAAGAGTCAGACATAACTGGGTGACTGTGGGCGACTGAACAACAACAATGAAACTTCCCAGGTAGCCCTAGTGGTAAAGAACCCACCTGCAGTGCAGGAGACATAAGAGACATGGGCTCAATCCCTGGGTTGGGAAGATCCCCTGGAGAAGGAAGTGGCAACCCACACCAGTATTCTTCCCTGGAGAATCCCACGGACAAGAGAAGCCTGGCGGGCTATAGCCCATGTAGTCACAGAGAGTTGGACACGCTTGAAGTGACTTAGCATGCAGCACAAGTCTTAGAATGGTACCTGGCACATAGGAAATGCCAAGCATGTGTCTGCTATGACCTTTAGTTGATTTAATCCACTCTGAAGGCTTCAATTGCCATTTTCAGGCTGGCAGTTCCCAAATGCAATGCCATCCTGCAGTCCTCCTCTCTAGGTAGATTACCTGATTGCTGACTCACTATCTTTCCTTGGATGTCTCCCAATACTTCAAACACAGCATGTTGAAGAGGAAACTTCTCATACCCTGCCCAAACTTGGTTTGGAGGGGACTAAGGGCTACTCTGAGACTCTGATGAAAAATAGTGTCTTCTCATAAAACCGCACAAAGCCCATCATTTTGCTTACAGCTCAAAGCAATTCACGCATCCCAAATTAAGACTCCTTGTCTTAGAAGATGTGTCATTTGAGCTGACTCCTAAGAGTAGAGTTTCACCTGGCGGACAAGCGTGCCAGGTGAAGGGCCCAGCAGGCAAAGAGGGCAGCTTGACACAGGCAAGGGAACTGGAGAAAATCCAGCTGATGTGGTCGGATGCAAGGTGCAAGGATGGGCCTGCCAAGTGACAAGGCCAGAGAGCGGGGGTTGGGGGGTACTGCACAACACCAGGGCTTGTGGGCCATGCTAAACTCTTGGTACTTTGTAGACAACAGAACCACTAAAAGCTTGCAAGGCAGAGAGACATGATCCGATTTGTGTTTTAAAAATATGCTGTGCTAAGTCGCTTCAGTCGTGTCCAACCCTTTGCAACCCTGTGGACTGTAGCCCTCCAGGCTCCTCTGTCCATGGGATTCTCCAGGCAAGAACACTGGAGTGGGTTGCCATGCCCTCCTCCAGGGGATCTTCTTGACCCAGGGATCGAACCTGAGTCTCTTATGTCTCCTGCATTGGCAAGTGGGTTCTTTATCACTAGCGCCACCTGGGAAGCAAACACATACTGAGTGCTTTCTACATATTTTCTACACAGTCTCCACAGGCAGCTATATGAAGCTGGATAGGGTAAGAGGGGGCAAGCGCTGGAAAAGCAGGGAAACTATGGACAGTTTTTTAAATAAGTAAACTCAACTTTAAAGGATATATGAGTAAGTGGCAAATACTAGATTAATAGAAATAGCCGAAACTATTTCATTTAAATGTATGCCACTTTAGCTTTAAGAATGCTACAGAAGTAATAAGAATTCTTCAAACAATTCTGTCCTATTAACGTACACATTATGACAGAGGCGGAGTGGTGGCAGAATGCTGAGCGAACCCCTCCCAGGAGCCCTGACAGCTGTCATGCTGTCCCTTGGGATGGGGGGGGGGGGCGGGGTTGAGGGGTGTGTGTGATATACAGGTCAGGGCTTCCTCTGCACTTCTTCAAGACAGCCTTTGCAAAAAAGACCTGTTTTACGTGAGTTCCACAAATTGAAAACCAATGGACCAGCTTATGCTTTATTTAACCCAGCTGAAAATAAGCTGGTTAATTTTGCTTTGTTCTTCTACTCATGGTCTAGCTAACTAAAGACAGGGAGGCAGGAAGCCAAGAATCTCTGATTAAAGTGGATAAACTTCACATATACAGAGTGTGGGAGGAAGCACAGGAGTTCAGTATTTGGAATCAGGTTGCAACACTGGAAGGTAATTGGGTTCTGTAGTGAACCCTCAGTGATCACAAGTGGGTAACAAGGAAAGCATATTGCACAGTAAATGCTTTGGGGCAGTAAGGTCCCAGAGGTGGGCTGAGTGGGTGGAGGCTGTAAGGAAGGGTGGGGTGGGCGGGCAGGAGGGGCTGCCTAGGGAGACTCTCCCTGGGTCAGGTCAGACCCTGGGTCCATTCTGGACCTGGACTCTCTCTCTGTCCTCCCAGGGTTGCCAAATCCTGAGATTATTCTGAATTGCCCCCCTCTCCCTCAACCATCCAGAAACGAGGCTTTCTGTGCCCTGGGCAGCTCCTGTCCTCCCCGCCGCTCCCCCCGGGGTTACCGCTGATAGGAAAAGACACCCTTTCCTTCTGGGTCGGTACCCGCATCCGGGATGTAGCGCTGACTCTGCACCGGGAAGTCCTCTAGAGATAGGGGCTGGGCGGGAGCCTTTACAATGGCCTCCGTCTCCTAAAAGACATTCAGTCTTTTGTCCCGCTCAGGAAAACAGTGTTGGTGGGAGAGGGTTAATTACATGAGTCGCCAAAGGTTTGGGCTAATTGAGTCAGCTGAAGCGAAGAGGATATTAAAAAATTTATAATAATGATAAACAGGGCTAGATCATAGCACTATCCTCACCCCACCTGTGCTCAAGGCTAGTGCTTCCAGCTGGCACAGGTGCGCACAGAGGCGAGGAAGTTTCGGCTGGGCAGCGGAGGGGTTGGGGAGACAGGGCGTCTCGCCAAGCACAATCAAGCCATAAAATGAGAAACGCCATCCTCTTAGACGACTTCTGAAAGACTTCCAGGTCTCACGTATCCTACCCTCTTTACTTCTCATCCCCAAGCCCCCGTCCCGGACTCCAGGGGGCTCCGGAGTTACAGGAAGAAAGTCCTTGCGGAAGGTAGAAACAAGTGCAAGAGCATCCCTGGTCTGAGGAGGATACAGGGGGACTCTGCATTTGCCCTGCACGCTGCATCATCTCAGTGAGAGCGGTGGGCAGGAGGGGCTGGGGCGGTGTGGGGTTACTCTGAACCTAGAGTCCTTCCACTTTCCTGCCCCTCAGGGAGGGGACCGCCCTGACCCGGGCAGCCACGAACCACGCCGTTCTGTTCTCAAGGCCGGCCCAGATGGGCTCACCACAGCCCCTCCGGCTTCCCTGAGGGACCCGGCGGCAGGAGCAGCCCCAGTGGCCCAAGGCCAGCCCAAGTGGCTCGGGCGCGCGGTCCAGGAAGGTCCCCGGCCGGGAAGAGCCGCAGCGCAACTCGAAGAGTGCCCCCCTCGCCCACTGCCCGGCCCGGTCCGCGCGGCTCACCCTCCAGTCTCGGCGCCCGAGTCCACGCAGTCATCCTCCTCGCCGCCACCCGCCTTGGGGTCCATGGTGCACTCCCCGCCGCGCTCCGCTCGCGAGCGCCGGCGTGACCCGGGCGGCCCAGCTCAACCCGGCCCGGCGCGAGCTGGCGGGGCTCCCTCGGAGAGTCTGGCGGCCGGGGCTCAGGCAAACAACTCCGGCACCGCCCCGCGCCGCGCCCTCTTCTGGCCGCGCCCAGACTGTCCCCCGGGGGCTGCTCGCGTTCCGCCCTTCGCAGATCGGCCGAGAGAGCGTCTGCGCGCGCCCGAGTGTGTGTGCACGGAGCGTGTGCGCGCTGGTGTGTGCACGCGAGTCGGGGGTACGTGCGTACGCAAGAGGGCGTGTGCATGTGGTGTGAGCGCGCGCGCGGGTCTGTGCGGAGTCTGTGCGCACGCAAGAAAGTATGTGCCTGTGAGCGAGCGTAGGTGCGCGCGCGAGAGGGTGTGTGCAGCGGGTGTGAGCGTGTGCGCGAGCTCGCATGAGCCCGCATGTTGCGTGCCCGTGTGTGGTGTGAGTGCAGGAGTGGATGAGGTCTGTGCGGTCTTGTGCACTTGGGGTTTGCTGTGGGTGGGTGGGTGAGGCATGCAATAATGGTCGTTGTACACTTCTGGGTGTTTCCTGGGCGCGTGTTCCCGTCTGTGCTTTGTGACCGCTTATCAAGACCAGTGCCACATATTCTCACGCACAATCTCATTAAATTCACAAAAAGCTATAGGGCAGATATCAACAGTCCAATCTTACAGATAAGAAAATCAAAGCTCAAAGAGGTTAAATAACTTGCCTTAAAAAAGAAGAAAGTAGAAATGAGTGCCTCGCGGGTGAGTGGGTGAGCCGGGTGAGTGGGCTCCCCTGGGCCCACAGTCCCGGAATTCAGACTCTTAGGGATCGCCGGGAGGTTCCTGAGCCGCGGCGGCGTTGCAATTCCCACGGAGAAACACCAGGGCGCACGGTGGAAGCGAGGAGGAACCTGTTTTACTTCTAGAGCATCTAGGTGTTTTCTCACAGTTCCCTCAGAATTGCCAATACTGAATTTATTATCACCTTTTTTAGCACAGGTCTGAGTGGCTTCCCACCGCCAACTTGCCAGTTTACCACTGGTGTCACGTCATTCTTTTGTGTGTTAGTCGCTCAGTAGTGTCCAACTCTTTGCAACCCCATGGACTGTAGCCCACCAGCCTCCTCTGTCCGTGGAATCCTCCAGGCAAGAAATACTGGGTTGCCATTCCCTTCTCCAGGGTATCTTTCCAATCCAGGGATTGAACAGCGTTTCCTGCATTGCAGGCAGATGCTTTACCATCTGAGTTACCTTTTGCTAGTTAAAAAAAAAAAAGCCTTTAAAAATAACTTGAAGACAATTGCAGGCACCTGCATTCAGGGGTTGCTGCTGTAGGGAGATAATGGATGTTTGTAAAATACCTTGCTCAGCCCCTGGGGTGAGTTAATGATCACTATTGCAGCGGATCACTTCCCATTAGGATGAGGCTGGATAGAGTTTGGGGTCAGGAAGGAGCAAAACTATTTGGATTTAATTCTGACAGCCCTGCCCAAGCCATAGGAAGGCACTCGTTTCTAGTTTCTTCTTTTTTGAGACAAATTATTTAGCTTCTTTGAGCTTTGATTTACTTCTTTGTAAGATTGGACTGTTGATATCTACCCTATAGCCTGTTGTGAATTTAATGAGATCGTATGTAAGAAAATGTAGTGTTGGTCCTGATAAGCACTAGTCCTAGGCAGCCATCATTACTTCTAAAGCATGAGCTAGCTACAGCCCCAGTCTTGGTTTGCAAAGCTGTGACAAGTGGTTTCAGGAAGGGGAATCTATTTTCTTTCCTCTCTCCTCTCCTCTCCCTTCTGTTCTTCCTTCCTACTCACTTAAATGTCACTCCCTTTGATTCTTAATCACATTACACAAAACAGAGATCTAACTAAACAAAAGCAGAATAGACATGCAATCTCAGCAAGAAAAAACATATGTAAATATGCCAACCCCAAATCTTAACTGAATTGTCCTTACTGAGTATAAAATTCCCTGAACACAAAATAGAGATGGAAATATTATACTCAATTTGTGCTCATTAGCTGAAAGAAGCAGCATGTCAATTCTTCAGAGGAGATCCCCCTCACTGCCACCCCACCCCCACCCTATATACTGATGTCTAAAAGGAAATTCTCAGACAAGACAAAAGAATTGTTGTAAGAGATTTACAGCACAATGCCATTAGTGACCAGCTTAAATTTATTGGTACAGTCAATAAATACCAGATAGAAGGCTGAGTTCTGGATATATAAATGAAGGAAGACAGTAATGGATAGTATGCTTGCCCTCATGGAACTTATAATCCCTCTCCTTATAAGGAGAGGGAGACTAATGAAATAGGTATATGTTAATATATATATATACACACATATATATATATGTATATATATATATACACACATATATAAATATATATATGTATATATATATATATATATATATATACATATATAACATAAATGAAGTGGATGCTATGAAGAAAAAGAACAGTGAGTCCTGAGAGAGAACGTAATTCAAGTTGGAATGTCAGGGAATGCTCTCTCAGGAAGGGATATTCAACCCTCTTCTGCCTCGGGGTCTTTGCACTTACTGTTTCTGCTCCCTGGAATAATTGCTCCCAGATTTTCTGCAAGGCTCTTGCCACATTATCTTTCAGGATTCTGCTCAGAGAACAGACTTACAGGCACAGCAGGGGCAGGAGGGGGTGGGATGAATTGAGAGAGAAGCACTGAGATGCATACATAACCATATGCCAAACAGATAGCTACTGGGAAGTTGCTGAAAAACACAGGGAGCTCAGCCCAGGGCTCTGTGACGACCCCGAGGGGCGGGCTGGGGTGGGGGGGTGGGAGGGAGCTTCCAGAGCACGTGTATGCACGCCCACAGGCTCAGTCGCTGCAGTGCGACCCTATGGACTGGAGCCCGCCAGGCTCCTCTGTCCATGGGATTCTCCAGGCAAGAATACTGGAGTGGGTTGCCATGCCCTCCTCCAGGGGATCTTCTTGACCCAGGGATCGAACCTGGGTCTCCTGCATTGAAGGCAGATTCTTTACCACTGAACCACCTGGGAGGCCCTGAACATACATATGCTTACGGCTGATTCATGTTGATGTATGGCAGAAAGACAAACACAACATTGTAAAGCAATTATCTGCCAATTAAAAATAAATAGATTTTAAGAAAACATTGAACTTAAAGGACTCCGAAAAAATAAATAAATAAAGGACTCCGTTCAAATGGCCCCTGATCAGAGAGCCCTTCCCGATTAAACTTGCCTCACAGTGTTCCCTTAGCCTGCTCTGTTCTTTCTTATAACTCTACCAGCACTTGACATCTAATATGTTTATTGACTGACGACCTCATCTTTCCTCTCTAATCCTACCCATGGAACGCCAGCTCCGGGAGAGCAGGGGCTCTGTTTTGTTTACTGCTGTATCCCCAGTACCTGGAATAGTCCTTGGAGAAATAGGTACCTGCTGAGTGAAAGAAGGGAAAGCAGCCACAGCCTGGGGTAGGGGAAGTAGTAAGGAGAGCTTTCCTGGTGCAGAGACCAGCAAGAGTGCGGCAGGACAGAGCACTGAGCGCTTGATTAGAGACAGAGGGAAGCGGGGGGACCAGAAGGACCCCAAATGGGAAAGATGATAGTGAGGCATTTCTATATAAATCTGACATCTCCCAGAAGTCAAAAGACCGTTATAGCCTATTTGAAAAGTCGTAGGATGAAGCCTGTCCATAAACCAAGCTAAAGGGCTGATAAAAGGGGCCAAATAAGTAAGTATAATGGAAATCAACCCTGAATATTCACTGGAAGGACTGATGATGAAGCTGAAGCTCCAATACTTTGGCCTCATGATGAGAAGAAGTGACTCATTGGAAAAGACCCTGATGCTGGGAAAGATAGAAGCAGGAGGAGAGGGGGACAACAGAGGACGAGATGGTTGAATGGCATCACTGACTCGATGGACATGAGTTTGAGAAAACTCCAGAGGATACTGAAGGACAGGGAAGCCTGGCGTGCTACAGTCCATGGGGTCTCAAAGAGTTGGACACAACTGAGCAACTGAACAACAGGCATAAGATAATGAACATCCTGCTGTCTTGTTCTCCTTAACAGCCTCAAGGGCACCTACCTTCACTTATTCTGTGTAGAGGCAATTCATATTTGTCACGTCATTTAATCCTGGGCAACGTTCTCTGAAGTAGGTTTATTTTTTCACTTGGCAGTTGAGGAAACTAAATCTCAGTGAGTTCAAGGGACTTGCCCCAGGCCACCCAGTGAATGAGCAGAGGAGCCAGGTGACCCATTGACTGTGGATGGAGTCCTCGTCATCTGCCGGGAAGGCCAAAGGGCCAGCCATCACACCCTCAGGAGGAGGACACTAAGAAAATGAGCAGAGAAGAAGCAGTGAAATTAGCATGATCCTTAGAAAGTGAGATGCTGCTTAAATCATTTTCATGCGTCTCTTCGGTTGTGTCCAACCCTTTGCAACCCCACAAACTGTAGCCCGCCAGGCTCCCCTGTCCATGGGATTCTCCAGGCAAGAGTACTGGAGTGGGTTGCCATGCCCTCCTCCAGAGGATCTTCTCAACCTAGAGATTGAACCCTTGTCTCCTGCATCTCCTGCAGTCTTTCTCAAATATCCAGAGAAAGGTCAAATTAGATAAAAACCTGTACCACGTCTCAAATGATGGATTGATCCAGCTCCCCTTGATTGCAGGGGACACAAGTGTTATTTTTCATTGGCACAGCCCCCAATGGTGACTCAGTAATGATGCATTTATTATCAGGAAGAGAAAAATTGTGAGCAGTACTCACTGTCCCTCTGAGCACAAACATCCAGCTGGGCTCCCCCTTAAGTCTTTGGGTCCTAGGAACCTCATTTTGTTATTTTTTTGGTAAGAGGACCTTGTAGTGGTCACCAGAGTATATCTTGCCCATAACCTTTACATGATTCCCAGGCTCTCCTTCCAGCTATTTAACACTGATCACTTTAATTGTGGGGGTGCAACACCCTCCCCCTCCCCCCTGTAAGATATGGGCAGAGAAGTGTCCCTGGTCTGCTTAGAATGTCCTGTCCAAACCCGTTAAAGATGTTCCCATTGGAGTCTGAGGCCAGTGTG